ATTTGAAGTTTTCACCTTCAATTAAAAATCTCGAATTCAAACTTGAAATGAAAAAAGTTCTCTCTTGTTTAATAGATCTTATACATAGTAAAATCAAATTAATAGGGGATTCAAACAAGGAGCAAGTATCATACGTCGAATGAAAAAATAAATTATAATTCAATCACTTTCATTTTATAAATATTAAATATTACACAAAATCATAACATTGGAGCATCAAGCATGTTAAGTCTTGGTTAAGTAAACTTATTCCACTAAATTTCAACACCAACTACCTTTCTTTTCTATTTTCAGAAGAAATTTGATTCACGAAAATGTAGCTTATGCGCAAAAATATATTCTTATAATTCAAGTTTAGGAATAGTAATAAAATGATTAATATAAGATGAGTATATTATATTCACAAATTACAACTTTAGTTAGACGTTTGAGTTATTACCTAATTATATTGCTTTACAAGATTAGTCACTCTAGGAGTGAAAAAGCTCAATTAATAAGATTCATTTCTTCTTAGAGCTTTCAATGCGGATATAATAATGTTGGGTGATCAAGTTTTGACGTAAACATGAAATGTGAATGAACTTTTGACCTCTCAAATTTATTTTAAAAAATATTTCCTCTATTTAATATTAACTGGATTTTTTAGACTTTTTTCATTGTTCAAAATAATTGAATTGCCCAAAGTTCAAGATGAATATTTGAATTTTTTTCCATATTTGCCTTTTCCTTTACTAAAATTTGATATTTTCTAGAATATAAATTACACTATTTGCATTGTTAAATGATATCCTTAAATATTTTTCTTAATGAAGAATGTGAATTATCTCACAAATTCAATTAATACGAAACATCAAGGGTACTATATTACGTTTCATTATTAATAAGTTCCCAGTTGGATAGCATTAAATAAAATAAAAACTTTAGGTAAACGAATCAACCAATAATTACAACGCGTTTTTTTGAGAATCCCACCTCTTATTATAATTATAATTTTTGTAATAAAATAAATAACCACTCCGTATCCGCAACTAAAATGGAACGCGCAATTGACAGATCTAATTAATTTATGACAGCTCTAATATCCTCTCATATTATAAAAACAAAATTCTTCTAATGAAATATTAAACTCAGCTTACTCTTAATACAAAAAAATTAATGTAAGTCTAATCTTAGTAGTGCAAAGATTACGCATCTATACAGTACAAGTTAGTCAGCTAATCAAGTGGCGGATGTTATGGCGAGAGGATTAACTAATATACATACAAATTTACACTCGCTTGAAAATTAGTTAGAGTTGTGAAAATCAAATTATTTTGTAGGTCGGATAAAATTAGTCCTCATGGATCGATGACAAACAATACATGATAAATAACTACTACAATAATTATTAACGATTTGATAGTGTAAAATTTCATATATTGTTGGATTATATAGTCTAATGCTAAACGAGATCGAGTGGACAAGGGTGAAACTATCCATGTTCAAATGGAGTCAATTGACATACGTAGGAGCGGAATCATCATTTTAATAACTTTGGTTCAAATTTTGTATTTATATTGAAAAATAATACCACAACATACTTGGTTAATAGTGAAATTCCACTATATGTGTCTAAAGAGTACATAATGTACCATCGGCTCAAGTACATCAAATCCAAACAAAACTATAAGAATATGACTAGTACTATATCAAATACGAACAAGCCTAAACCCGCGGACAGTGAAACAACACACCATCTATATTATCCTTATATATTAATATGTGACATCCACTCCTACTTAATAGTTTAATTATTTGGTTTTTTTCCAAATTTGCACTTTATATATTCCCCCAAAGCTACTCCTAATTTATCTCCTATTTATTCTCAAACAAAAAAAACTACGACCACCCCTCATTAGTTTACAATCTAAAAACCAAATGCAATTCCCAGCCATTTTCTTCAAAACTCGTTTCATTTACAATCTCTTCAACCCAATCCTCCTCTCCTTACTCCCAAAAAAACTCATCTCCTTCCTTCCTCCATCTTGGTTCCACCAAAAACACCTCCATTTGCGGTCACCGGCGCCGCCACAACAATCGCCGGTTTCCGTTTCCGACGCCGTTCAATCGCATATTCAGAAGAGAATGGACTCAGACGAACTCCGACGTATTTTCCAAATCTTCGATCGGAACGGCGACGGACGGATAACGAAGAATGAATTAAACGATTCGTTAGAGAATATGGGGATATTCATACCAGATCCGGAATTAATCCAGATGATCGAGAAGATCGATGTGAATGGAGACGGTTGCGTTGACATAGATGAGTTCGGTTCGCTTTACCAGACCATCATGGATGAACGCGACGAAGAAGAAGATATGCGTGAGGCATTCAATGTGTTCGATCAAAATGGCGATGGTTTCATTTGTGTTGATGAATTGAAATCTGTTCTCGCATCGTTAGGGCTAAAACAGGGACGAACGGTAGAGGATTGTAAACAAATGATTAACAAAGTGGACATTGATGGAGATGGAATGGTTAATTTTGCAGAGTTTAAGCAGATGATGAGAGGAGGTGGTTTTGCTGCATTGAGTTAGTTTAATTTTTATTTTTTTTAATTATTTCGTTTTTTTTTTACCACTATTTTTATTAAAATAGAGAAGCAAAGAATAATTTTTTTTTTTTTTTTTTTTATTGTCATAGGCTGTGACATGTAAATAAATTGTTACTGCTATTATTTTATTTTTTCAATTGTTAATTGTGTTCTGCTTCTCTTCTACCTCCATGTTGATGTTAGGCGTACTAAGCTTTCATTATGTAATGGTTCAAAAAGAAAAAAAATTGCATCATAAAGATCTCCAAAAAAAGAATTATCGAATTAGCTAAAGGTATAAAGTAATGTTTTACAACTCTTAGATTAATTTGTTTTTTTTTTTTATCTATTGGTGCATGATCATTTGCCTTGAGAACTTTAAATGATTGGTTCAATGAATTCAATTTGTGGCATCTTAGGAAAGCACTCTCTGGTAAAATATTCTTAATTTTTTTGAAATTCTAACTCGATTTAAAAAAAATTTACAAATAATGAATCAAAGCGCATGCCATATTAGCCATTTATTAATAGAAGTCGTCCGTGATCACTTTTTAAAAATATGATAAAAGTTTGAGAAAGTGGATAATCATTTAATAAAGACCCAATGTGAGGCTGAGCTAAAAAACAATCAAGATTTATAAAAATTATACGAACATGGATAGTTCTTTAGTAAAGACTGAGAGATTGAACTCAAACATAACTAAAATCAATAAAAATCATGTAAACATCTATGGAGTGTAGAAAAAAACCCTTACTTTAACACAAAATCGTATATTATGGCAATTTACAATAGTTTCGATTATGTTTTTAATTATCTTTACGTATGTGTTTATAGGTAAGCAATATAGCTTGCATTGCTTAAATAGAACTATTAGTTAATATTAAGGAAATCTTTCAAGTGCAATTTCATTTTTTTTACGTAAAGGATTATTAATGATGATTTTTTGATTGCACATATACCTTAGTATTCGACCATAAGGTCATGCCTAATTTGCACACATTTGTAAGATAATTATATCAACTTATAAAATGATCATTTAGACATTTCATTTTTGTTCTAAGTTTGTTTTTAAATCAGTGTATACTACCTAGCATGTATATCACGTGGTGCTTCATTTGAATATTTTTTAGAGATGCTCAATCAAATATTGCAATCATAAAAAAAAAGTGTTGATGGGAGCTGACAGATATTTCCTGGAATTAGTTGAGATGATCATAAGCTGACTCAAATACCACAATTATATATATAAAAAAATAATCTCCGTACCAAACACTATAAATGAATATTTTTAAGTTTAAAATAAAAAAATAAGTTTAAACTCCATACCAATTTATCTGGTTTAAAATTAAAAAATGATAAATAAAATTTTCAAATATTTGTTGAAATTTCAAATTCCATAAATTATTCCTAAAATTTATATTATAAAAAAATTCCACATTATTTTTGTTGATCTCTGTATAGCTGTTTATTTATGAACCAAACAACGCGTAATAGATCAGTGACCTTACGACGCCGTTTTGTTCATCTTCTCCGCAATTATTATATTCTTCATTCGGATTCAGTTTCTTTGGAGAATTTACTTGGATTTTTTGCTTAGTCTCAGGTCCCTGGTAATTCCTCTCCCTTGCCGATTTAGTTCAATTTTTTGTATGTGGTGTTCCATTGATTGGATTCTCAGTTTGAATTTTTTTTAAATTTTAACTTTCATCAACCCTTACATTAGCATTGACAGCTATAATTTGCTGTGTTAATTTATCGTACATTGTTTGAATCTCATTAATTATGTGTAATTTAGTGGGTAAGTTGATGTTAAAGGGAAAAAGGTTGTATTCCCGTAATATTTAAGGTAATAATCTAACAATTGATGGTTTAGGAGCTGTTTAAAAGCTTTGTTAAATGTATTTGGATGCTTTGTAGAATTTAATCTCTCAGTAATAATCTAACAATTGGCTTCTGTGTCTTTTTGTTTTTTATTATGCTTTCAAGTTTTTTTTTTTGATGTTGCGAGTTGTATAATTCTCGATCTAGGTGATATTCTATAGGTTTTGTGTTAAAAAACAAACAATGTGTGTCTAGTTTTGGATATGAAATGCTAAGATGGAATTAGGAAGGGGAAGAGGTTTTAAGACTTCTTTGTTTTTTTTTTGTTGGAAAGAGTTAATATATGATTGGATTAATCAGCATCGGAGTTTAGATGAAGTAACATGGTCAGTGATGATTCATATAGCTGGCGTTTGGGATTGACGCCTAGTTGTTTATGATTGTCAAAACACAGTTTCTGCTATAAAAGCATATGGATTGTTTATTCGTTTTGATTGAATGTATGGGTATCAATTTTCCTGTTGTTTTGCTTGTAAGTGTATGTATCATCAGTCTTCTGATAAATAAGAAAGATATTCAATATGATTCGCATCTGTTCTAGTTTTTTGATAAATGATTTTTCTGTATAACAGCAGCAGAGGTGTTGAATTTAGAAGAACTATTTACAAATAGATAGTTCAAATTTGAAGGATTCTGAGTTTTTCACCTTTTTTTTTTTTAGGTTAGAAAAACTGCTTTCAATCATACACTGAAACAGCATCTTGAACTGTGAACTATGGACTCAACCCTGGAAAATGTAGCTTATTCCCCCAAAAATGTATTCATTCTATCTGGCCAAAGTAACATGGCAGGTCGTGGTGGAGTAGAAAAGCATCACTGGGATGGCATTGTACCAAACGAGTGCCATCCTGATGCTTCTAGAATTTTCCGTCTTAGTGCACACCTCCATTATGAGGTGGCACGTGAGCCACTCCACCATGACATTGACGCCAAGAAGACATGTGGTGTTGGGCCTGGAATGTCATTTGCAAATGCAATCAAAGACCGAGTGGAAGCTATTGGGTTAGTGCCATGTGCTGTAGGTGGAACTGCGATAAAGGAGTGGGCACACGGGCAACACTTGTATGTGAACATGGTCAAGAGAGCTAGAGCTGCCATGAGTCATGGAGGAGAAATCAAGGCATTGCTTTGGTATCAAGGAGAGAGTGATGCATTATCTCAGCATTGCGTCGACACCTATAAGGCTAATATGGAGAAGTTAATACATGACGTTCGTGCTGATTTGCATCTGCCATCGCTGCCAATTATTCAGGTTAGCTAATGTAGTTTGCTTCAAGCCTAGATGATGCATGTTTGAAACAAGTAACATTATTATCACGCATTTCTCAACATTGAACGTTGAATACTTGAAAGCAAGTGTTCTTTATGCATTTGTTCAATAAATAAGTTTTGATAGTAAACCAATAAATAAGATCAATACCAAGATGCACTCTTCTCTCCGTGTAGTTGTTGTGAAACTTAACTGATTAGTCTAGAAAATCATAAAGAGTGTTACGTAAAATCACAAGGCCAGTTCAAATCTGCCTGATGCATGTAACACTTTTCAAGGATTTTGGCAATTGTGGTTAGGTATTTTGTGGATCAAAGTAGTTGAACATTTTCACATGTTCTTTAACTGCATTGCATTGCATTGCATTGTCCTATAGGTTGCAATTGCATCAGGAGATGAGAAGTATATTGAAAAGATTCGAGAAGCGCAAAAGGCGATTGATCTTCCAAATGTTGTATGTGTTGATGCCATGGGATTGCAGCTGAAGGGAGATAATCTCCATTTAACTACAGAGTCTCAAGTTAAATTAGGCCAAATGTTGGCTGATGCATACTTAACCCATTTTGCACCACAAGAACCTTGTGTTGCTTCATCTTGAAAAATTTGCTGTACTGTGTGTATGTAAACTAAAAACTATTTAATCCTGGCTCATGAACATAACGTGAGTGAGCGCTCATATAAGTGTATTATTACTTTGAAGTAAGCTTGACTCATTTTCTGTATCTCTTCATGTCTTTAATTTAAAATGAGTATTTCCTTGTCTGCATTTCATCATATAGCTTTCAAATATTTTGAATTGTACAATTATTGCAACATATAATACTTGCATAGTTTTCAAATATGCAAATTTAATTTCAAAAAACTTTAAAGATAGCAACTTGTGCAATAACTTTGAGTTGGACTTCTCTGTCCTGCTGGAATTCTTAATCATAAGATTTATGTACACCTCACTATAGGAATTTGTATGAAATTCTTCTGCTTTTGTCGATGGGTTTATTCAACAACATACCCTCAATGTAATCACATAAATAGGGTCTGAGGAAGGTGGTATGTGTGCAGCCTTGTCGATTTGTTCTATCAAAATGCAAATCGTCTTTAGACTTTATACTAGTTCAAAATTGTTTAGTTGTACATGATTTCAGTCATATCACTAAACATAAATATCTTAAATTTGCAAATGATGTCTAAACATAAACCAAGGGAATAAAGCAAAAACTTCAATGGTACCCCTTCTACAACCAAAAGATACATAGCTATCGTGTTGGTTTATGCAGGTAACCCACTAGTTCAATTTAGTGTACAGCCTACAATGAATATTGTTCGAACTGAGGGATTTCTTCAGCGGTTGTGGAATGTTACTTCAAACTCAAACAAGAGATAGCAGTTGGGTAGTCACATCACGGGAAGGAAGTCAGAACTACGCAAGTCTTCAACTCATTAACAACCTCATGTGCAAAGTCCACCTCTATCTCTTGCTTCAAAATATTCCACTAGCTTTATAAATTATAACGGTAGTCCAATTTCATCGACATCTTGGTGTATTGACTTCTATGATTAGTGAAGGTGAACCACTTATCTTATTTCATCTGCTGCTGCTTCCTCCGATTTTCTGAGACATATTCGTAGTATTCCTCTTCTCCATAAAGTTTCCTGAAAGACAATAAGTATGCAGTCAATTAAACTAGTAGGTGCCCCACAGAAGAAACACCCAGAGGGAGGAGAAAAAATGTTTGACGATGACTTCATATATAAGAAGTACTGTAATAGAATCTTAGGTATAGTTGACATGACTTTATATCTGGAAGCAAATGAACATGCAAGACAGATAATACAACCAACTCCCTACTTATTACTATCATTCTCTGGCTATGCAATTTTTTAAATATAGAACTTCGCATAGATATTCCCCATTTCACTCTTTTGAAGCAGCCACATCATGTGTGCGAGAAGTGTCTTCTTAACCAGTGGTACATACAGTATAACCCCTCCAAACAAATAAATGCTACATCACTGACATCGGCAATACACTATCCCAAACAAAAAGGAACATGCTCCACCACCCCATTTAGCAAAGAAAGATGATTAGCAAATTCTTCATACCGTTCACACATGAACTATCTATTAAAACCACAATCTTCCTCCTCTTCTTATTGGGAAGATCATCTTGGATAAGTACTGCTTCACCTGTAGATGTCTGTCCAAGGAAGAAACCTTTGGGAATGAAATCTTCCGAATGCCCTCTCAAACTCATTTTCGACCACTTACAGAGGAGTTGGAAAAAGTGTTACTCCTTCCAATAAGTAACTTTTTTTGCAAATGAGAGAAATAACGTTCTTTTCTCCCTGTTCTCGTTACCTCCTATCAAATATAGCACTAACCAGAATGACAAGGGCCTCGATGTAGCATATTTCACAACTAATTAGTCCAATCATAGTTACTTGGCTCGTTATATCCATCCACAGCTTATATGTGAAGAGTAGTAACAATGGGAAATAATAGTAAAGGTTGTGGACTTATGAACTCTGCCAATGTTGGACAAATCTCAAAGTGAATAATGGTACAAGGATGAAAGAGAAGATTAAGAACCTCAAGCACCTTTTCACAATTTAAATCCTCGTTTTTATTGAGTCAGAAACTTTTGAGCAACTTTTAGAATGAGCAGACTATGCAATTATGTAGAAAACAAACCAAGGGATGAGGTGAAGTAGATGTCATACATTATACCAGACAACAACATCCAAACTTCCCATATTAGGAATCAGAACATGAACAACTTAATTTGGAAACTAACTGAACAGCAACTAAATTTGATCCCAACACATGTAACTACGGGTGGAAGTAACGGCAGCAGATAGAAAAACTTACGCTAGGTCTGCCAAGGTATCTGATTTAATTACTGCCAGCCCCTCCGGGCGCCCAAGGGAAGAATAGTGCGTTATCATTTCCTTCAGGGTGTGCTTTGTACTTTTGATATCATTATCCCACAATATACTCTGAAATCAAAGCACCCAGACCTCTTACTTACATTTGCAGTGAAAAGCATATAGGAAGTCAATGACTTCAATTTCAAACAAATGCTGTATATATTTTAGTCTATTTCATTTATATGCTGGATGGACAAAGTGGCTACTTAATTTAGAGTTAATTTAACATGTAATAAGAGATTGATTCACATCTGGTTCACAGGCCGAATACCTTTCTCACATACTCTCTTTTGACATCTTCCCATGGTAGTTTTCCCTCAGAAGAGAATATAGAAGCATTCCAAATGGCTCCTCTTGCAACCATCACAGATGAAGCACCTATAAGATAAAGTTGTTACATGTTGCAAAACATAAGCAGAAACAACCATGTAGATATTCATAAAAACAGATAGAAAAACCATCATCAACTTAATATGAACAATGCTTTTCACATACAGATTGTTCATTGTTTGATGTGTCACAAGGAAGCATGCCTACAAAGATTAATTTTGTATTTTTGAGGCAACAGCATCTCTCAGATTATAACTTCTGAATTCGAGGCTACATTGCCCAGATCCTCTGAAAATATCACCTCACCCCATGTCAGATCTCCTCCAAATATAACACATTTTTGGAGGATCCGAAACTGGTGTGACGGCTTTTTTGGAAGGGCCTGAACTGCAAGCATCTACAAGACTGTCAAATGCATCCACAGTTCTTTACAGCAAAAGAAAGAAATATGCAGAAGCAATTATTCAAGCTTTTTTATAGAATTAGTTATCTCATTGATTGAAGGGAAAATTGCTGCATGCAAAATGTCTGTATACGGCTTTTACAAGAAAGAACCATCAAGTGTTTTAGCACAATGCACACATCAAACGATATATAAGCTATTTGATTCCATTTCCTTAAACCAATGGACATCTGATGAAAATCAAACATATATACCCATATATGGACGACAAAGATACATTTATCTTCATAACATAATTTTATTGTCATATTGGGCCAAACACTCAGATCTATTTAATATCTAAATTAAAATAATTCACCTAGAAAGTGCAAACTGACTCATCAGCGATATGAGAACAAAGAGCAATTATAAGAAGTACAAGCACACCTGTTACATTTCTAATACGTTGAAAATCCTCATATTCAAAAACATCACCATTTGCTATAACCGGAATAGAGAGAGTGGCAGCAACATCAGCAATCTCATTCCACTTTGCAGGATCTCTTGGCCTGTCTGGAACTTTCCTGTAGTTCAATCAACAATCATGCCACATTTGCTAGTCAGAGGAAATACTAATATCACTCGACTTCAAGTTAAAAGCCCAAAATAGGAGAAAGCTCAAACAAGCAACCAGTGATGACTCCTTATCCCAAACAAAAAAACAAACAAAAATGAGCCATGACCATATTCTGTGGTAACAGAGACACAGTAAGAGTAGCTGCCGAGAGAATTGTCAAATTGCACCCTCAATAAATCAGTTTTGATATCGTTTCCAAATATAGCATGTTCAATTTCTGTATTTTAAATCATCTCGCACTGACTACACATAAAGATAGCACATACATAATTCACAGAAAGCCATTTATGTGCACCAACCTACCCACCCCTCAGCAAATGGAAGGAAGATCAGAACATAAAACAATCCTGTTAACCCTAAATGTGGTAAGTAATTCATGAATTGGCATCTTCAGAATGGAACTTCAATATCAGTTAAAATTCACAATCACAAAAAGTGAAAGGAGAGAGAAGTCGGGGAAAGTAGCAATAACATACTGAACAGACAATACTTTCCAATATAACCAAGAAGCAGACTAAATGGCTCTTCTCTCGCTTCTAATGTGAACTGTTTGAATCTACAGCAAGCCCCACCTCATTTCACAAAAATACTCCAACAACTATATGAAATAACTTGAGTACTTGACCATCAAGTAGGCAATCTGGATTACTGGATATTCAAAGGGTTGATTGATGACAGAGCACAAGGTAAGTTTATAAAGAACATGAGAAACAGATATACAGAAATCATGTACCTTCCATGGACAGCAAGAGCAGATACACCAGTCATCTCGATTCGTCGTGCCAATTCCACTGTATCCTGCAGATCTTTTAATAACCTAATTTTGCATGTTATTGGTACATCCAAGTTCCTCCGCAATGTTGTCAAAATCTGAGTTCAGAAGAAGGGAAGCATTATGAACAGGGCATACACTCCCATGCTGTATTAGAAGGAAATTTGCCTACTGGTGAAGGAGCAACAATAAATGCATACATCATGGATGAGCTCTGGTTTGCTCAACAGTGCAGCACCCATGCCTCCACTAATAGAGAATGACTTGGGGCATCCCATGTTTACGTCCACTGCTGCTACATCTTTACACCTGAAAAGGGACAGACCATCAAATATTTCGATCAGATGCACTAACTTCCTACCGATATCGAGCATAATTGCTGGTTTAAGCTTTCATGACTAAGTCAGAAGTGAAGACCTAAAAAGAGCAAAGAAACTCACGCATGTTCTTTGAAGTTTGTTCACTATCTTAAGAAAGTAAATTGTGAACCTTGACAAGAATGCAATTCACAGAATATTATGATAGCTATTCAATATAAAGAAAATTGTTAAAGAAGCAAATTCATATCACTGCAGCTTGTTGCAGTTCAACATTAATAAATTTAACTCTGACAAGCCTGTTATTTATAAACGAACATCAGCTATATCCACCATCCAATTAATGTCAGAAGGTCGATTCTAAATACTGCTAACAACATGAAAAACTTAAAAATCTAGACTTC